ATAGTATAATTATTTACTTTCTCTTAAATAACTATTTTTTCTTTAAATTTATAATATAACACTTAAAATGTTTTCTGTTTTAATTATTAAGAAATTTAAACATCAATTTTTTTTGTAAAACAAATTTTAATATATATATTTTTATAATACATTTATAAATATTTATTTATAATATTCTTTTTTATTTTTAGTCAAACCAAGGCAATCTAAATTTAATATTTTATCTCCAGATATTAAAATGGATCTCGAAGAAGATTCACTGCAAGAGTGTTTGCTGAATGTTTATGAACCTACTTCAAATAATACTCAAATCCTTTATAAATTACTGTTGAAGGCTTTACAGTCCAAAGACTTCCGTTCTTTTAAAAATATAATAGAACATGATTTAAAGAAGCAATCATCTACTTTGAATATCAACTATATATATCCAAATTCACAAGAAACATGCCTCGATATGGCTAGTAGAAATGGTCTAACAGAATTCGTGGAATTTTTATTGCGCCAAGGAGCAAAACCCAACAGAATAAACGAAGCGCACAATCGCGCTCCTATTCATTTTATCACTGAAAATGGATATGTAAATACATTGGCAGTTTTACTAACAGAACCGACAATAAATTTGAATCTCGAGGCGGGACAACAGACCGCATTACACATTGCGGTAAGAAGAAAGGATCTGATGTGCGCTAGTTTGTTATTGGAGAAAGGCGCTAGTGCTAGTATTCCAAATAGCAAGGGCCTTACAGCTCTTCATTTAGCGGCAATAAAAGGCCAGCGAAATATGGTAGAATTAATATTGGAAAAAGGTCGACAATGTCCAGATATTGACACCTATAAAGATTACAACAATCAAACGACACGAGAGGTAATCCAACAGAACTTGCCAGATCTAATATTATCACCCAAATATGAAAATCGCGAAATAAATGTGCATGATCTCAAGTATTATTTGATCGCCAACGATGAAATAAATTTTCTGAAAAATATAGAATATGTCGAAATAGAAGCACTTCACAGTGTAGCTGAAGAATTATTAGAGATGACTTCAAAACGAAATTTTCATGAAGCTGTGATTAGAATCCTAGAAAAACTTAAGGGGAGACAGTTTAATATAGAAAAAGCCGCACAGATGGCTATTCAACAGAATAATCATATTATTCTTCAGAAATTGCTAAATGTAGAGCCCAATGTAGTTGATGATCTAATCCTGAATGCCTGTCTGGAACTCGGGATGCCAGCAAAACGAGGAACTGACAATTTTCCTGATCGATTGAACTGCTTAAAATTGATTTTAGAACAAGAAAATGTCAATGTTCGTTGCAGTGACAGTAAGTATCGCAATAAATATCAAATTATAAAATGATATAAATGATACTTCTCAGATAACAAATAGATATTTTGACAATATCTAAGTAATATTTTATTTCCTGTTTTACAAATTTTCCTTATTAATTTACAGACAAAGGCAACACTCCATTACATTATGCTGCTAGTGCTGGTTGTCAAGAAGCAGTAACTTTACTTCTTGACCGAGGCAGTTACATCGGTCATATGAACAAATTCAATATACCGTCTATTGCAGATATTCCAGCATGCACGCTAACACGTTATTTTGATAACTGTTTACAGATGCGAAAGGAACGAACAAACGAGTACACGATCGAATTTAATTATCATTGTTTAATGCCACACAACATTCTTACAAAATATGATAAAACTCACTGGGCAAATCGCGAGATGGAAATATTCAAATATATCGCCAGCAACGATGGTCTCAGACAGTTACTAAGACATCCATTGCTTTCTTCTTTTCTTTATCTGAAATGGCATAGAATACGGCACGTTTTATATGCAAATTTCATCTTTTACGTCATTTTTTATTTTCTGTTAAATACTTACATTTTGAGTATGACTTATGACACTCGAATAGAAAATGAAATGCAGTTTGTTAATAATAGCTTTAATATGACTTTGGAAAATACTTCACGAATTATTTGGTATTATAATTTTTTGTGGGCCTTTACTACTGTAATGTTACTGCTCTTTATTTTCCGAGAGATTCTCCAATTTATCTCTCATATTCGGTGTTATCTAACAAACTTAGAAAACTGGTTAGAAATTATATTAATTATACTCAGTGCTACTTTGCTATGTGGCGCAGGACCTCAAGTCGGTGCGATAGTAATCTTATTGTCAGCCTGGGAACTGGTAATCTTAATTAGTCAGCATCCGCGTATGTCCACTGGCATTGAAATGTTCCGTACAGTTTCTTTCAATTTCATGCGTTTTCTATTCCCTTACTTGTTTCTTATCCTTGCCTTTGCTTTGGCTTTTTATACGCTCTTCAAAGACGGCAACGACACGAACTTCCCTGATCCTGGTCGTTCACTTTTCAAAACTATCATTATGCTCACTGGCGAATTTGATGCTAATGATATTCCGTTTATTGCACATCCTATTTGGAGTCACATTGTATTTATGTTATTTGTTTTCCTCATTGCTATCGTGCTGTTTAATCTGCTCAATGGTTTGGCAGTCAATGACACTGCTGAGATTTTATCTAAAGCCGAACTAGTCGGACTTATTTCTCGAATACATCTAATTGCCTACATTGAAGATATAGCGATCAGCAAACCTTTTAAATATTGTTTTTGCTGCGGGAATTTGCGATTACTGCGATCCTGGAATCCTTTTGGCTTTCTCGCCAAGAGAATTCTTTTATTTCCTCAATTGCTGAAAAATGGTAAAATCAGTATCAAGCCATGCAATAATCTAGACGCTTATGATAACGATAGATATTATAATAAGAATGCTCACAGTGAATTCGTAATCCATGACAATCAGTGGACTACTTTGAAGATGGATTCTGATATAATTAAACAAACTAAACGTATTATTTATAATAAGAATCAATTGACAGATAATGAAAAGATTATGATTATGTTGAATAAATTGCAAGAAAAATTGTCGAATATGGAAATAGTTTTAAATACTATAAAGCAGACAGTTAAATAATTCATACAAGAAAGTTAATAAAAAATACTTATATTTATTCTTTAAATATTCGATTGCACAAAATTTAAGCTTGTCCAATGAATCATTTCTTATAAATTTTTGTATAAATAAATTTTGTATAATAAAAACTTAAACTCGTATGCAAAGTAAAAAAAGAATCAATGGCTGCGGCAAATAAAGATATCTTTAAATAATTTAAAATAATTTATTAAAATAAAAAAAGCAGAACATCGTCTTCAAAGATCAATTTGTCATCGGAATGTTATGACTCCATTTAAAAGCCTGACATTATCAGTCCTTTATTTTATAATAAATTAAGGAAATCATTATCGGAAAGGACTTCCGTAAATCTCAATTAAACAAAAAGAGATCTTTTAAATTGATCATAAGAGAGAAAAAAATCTATACAAACTCTTTTCTCTTTTAGTTACTAGAAATAAGATACATGTATTCATGAAAATATATATACGAGAGAGAAGAAGTATGAAGTGAAAGAAAGATAAAAACAAACTTAAAGACCTAATATTTGTACCTAATATTGATACCTAATATTTGTATAATAATAACATAATCTGATAATATAATATAATATGTTAATATAATATAATATATTATAATATAATGTAATAATAATATAATAATAATATAAAACATAATAACATATAACATAATAATATAAAAATAAACAACAGTGATAATTGGGGTGTATGTTTAAATTTGCAAATGTTACGTGAGTCGGATGCCAATCAGAATTTGAAGGGGGAGCCTGTCTATTATTAAAAAATAATTGATTATTACAATATTAGGAAATAATAAAGGAAATTATCTAATATGAATGTGTGTGAATAAACGTGTATATGTATATAAATATACAGAGAATCCTTTATAAAAAGAAGGCATAACACTTGCATCTGTCGAAATTTTCTTGAAATTTATTGTTGACGCTTTTCCGCAATGCTAATTAGTTCTCTTCGCTGCGCAAACTTTGTGAGCGACTGTCATTGCGGAGTTAGGCTAATTATATACTATATATCTTCAGAGTTAGTGCTTAATTTGTGGTTGAATAAAAGTCTATTCATTTGGTGATGAAAGATGGTATTATGTTTGAAAGAAACGTTATCGACATTGTCGGGCTAAAAATATCATTAATCATTCCAAAATTAATCAGAAAGTCTGCAGGAAAGTGCTGAGAGAATACACCAGTACTCGAAATTAATTACTCTTTTCGGTCCGATTTCGAAGACAACGCCTACTGCCCCCCCTTCCCTCCATATCGCTCACTAAAGCTCGATGACCGAGCCGCCGCACGCTTTTAGGAGCGTTTCATATTAAAAATGCGCCCAAATTGTATATTCCGCCAAACCATTATTAAAGCAATTTTTTTATTAAATTATTTTTATTTTTATAAACATTAAATTTTCATTTTAATATATTTTATGTGTTTTATGATATTTAATAATAATAAATACGTTTATAATAAAATTATTACATAATAATTAGAATAATCAAAGTTTTAACATTAAGTTTCCACATCACTCATAAGATATTGACGTATTTTTTTAAAGTAGTTTCTTTAGTAATTTCCTTACTTAATAGTTTCCTTATTTAATAGTTTCCTATTTTATTAAAAAGAATCAAATATATGACTTAACAAAAAAAATAAAAGCGTGATCGGTATAACTTTTTTATTTAGATGTTAGATGGAAAATTAATTTTATTTTCTACGTTGATTTTAGTAGAGATAATATATCAATAAAAATTTTGGAAGAACTGATTTGCATCAGCAGAGATTAGTAAGCGTTCAAAGAATGTTTTTCTTTTTTTATGCATCACTATCCTCGTTGATGCGAACTAGTTCTTCTAAAATTTCTGTGGATATATCATCTCTAGTAGAATTAGTTGAAGTCTAGTAGAATTAGTTGTTCTAGTAGAATTGTGTAAACGACTCAAAAAATCAAATTAGTATTTTTATACAAATTGCTCTTCTTTTCATTTTTTTATATATCATATTTTATAATATAAAATTTTATTTTCGTGCCAAGCCATATATTTGATTTCTTATTTTTTAATGGAATAGGTCTACTAGGAAACCATTTAAAAAAAACGTGTCAACAATAATATCTCATGGGTGATGCGGAACCTATTATTAAAACTTTAATTCTAATGATTCTGTAATAATTTTATTATAAATGTATTTATTATCATTAAATATTATAAAACACATAAAATATGTTAAAAAAATTTAATATTTGTAAAAATAAAAATAATTAAATAAAGAAATTAATTTAATAATAGTTTGGCGGAAATGGTGCATTTTTAATATAAAACGTTCTGAAACATAAGGCGGCTCGGCTGTCAAATCTCAAGCGGTAGTGAAGGAATTGTAGGCGTCACCTTCGAAATCGAGCCGAAAAAGGCAACTAATTCCGAGCACTGGAATACACCAAGGAGATCGAAAGACTTAAAAAAATCTTTTGTTATTATCTTTTCTTTATGTTTTTGCGTGTATTTTTTTTCGAGAAAAAATGATATATATATATATATATATATAAAACGAGTATTGTAAAGTACTAGAACAGGTTATAGAGAGAATAAAGAAATATGCTTTCAATAACGAGTGATTTCGATATCAATAAAAATTTCATAGTATGTTTCTAATTGCATAGAAAAGAGAAGGATAGAAAAGTGTTTGTAAAAATGTTAGTATGAGTAAAATTAAATATTTTTTTTATAAAATAATTATTAAATAATAATTATATTATTAAATTAGCAGAAAGAATCCCTAATAAAGAAAATCCGTGTAGACGCGAGAAGTGCGCGTTCGCGGTCGAATGTATCGAAGGCATTGTTGCCTCTTTTCCGTGATGCTGATTGGCCGATCGATGTTGATGGTTGAGATCGCTTCAATTTCGCGGCGATGATAGTCGGTGACAACTCGTGTCATGCGGGAGAGCGTATAAGAAAAAATGTTAAAAAAGCGTTGAAAATATTTTTAATGATTAAAAAGGAAAGAATCGTTTGGAAGGAGATCTCGCTTCTCCGCGATGCCGATTGGTTCTCTAATTGGTTGCGCTAATTTCGTGAGTTTTATGAGTGGCTGTCATTAAAGAGATTTGACAACTTCATACATTGAAAAGATTTATTTAAGAGGTTAATTGAAAATGAAATAAAGAAAAGAGAATGGACGAGAGAAGAAAAAAAAGACTTCTTCATAATTGTTACAGATAAATTTTACTGTTTTTATTACAATCTCTCGAATTCCTCATTCTAGCATTAAATAAAAATATAATAATAATTAGTCACATCTTACAACAGTATTAGACAATTCATTAGAAAATTCCTTAGACAAACGTCATAAACGTTTTATTTTTAAATATAATTTTTTATTTATATAATATATATACTTGATCTTAAGTGTATGTATATGCGTATATGTATTGAATGCATGAATATTCGTGTCTAAAGTGTGTACATACCATTCATTCAGTTTATTTGATTTTATTCACAATCTACAAATTAAAACAAATTATTTGTACTAAAAATAATGTTTTGTAATACTATA